TGCTTCTCAAAACCTTATCTTCCTCATATAAAATGGAGGTTCTACTAGAATTTACCTTATAGGGTTATTGAAAGCATTAAATGAAATAACCCAGTTCAATAACTTAGCACAATCTGTAGAATATATGAATGCTTAATAAACAGTAACTATTATTTAGGAAGTATCAATTCCCTTTTCTGTACTTTGGCTCCTTCATCTGTAAAATGGAATTAGATATTGCCCAAGCATCCTTCAGTTCTGACATTCAGTGAATGTCCCCACCATATTGAATTTAGCTTAGATTCTTAGGCAAATTTGATTTGAGATGATTTGAAACGCAGTTCCCTTTCTATTCCAGCCTCTCTTAGAGTGGTCCAGATACCAGAGGGCTAGGATAATTGGGTAACTTCTGACTTAGAGAAAAACTCTTTTGTAAGCCCAACAATGACTTTTCGTGGGAATGACCAGCCACCCAAAACTTTGAAGAAACCTTTTATGCAAGTATTAGGGCTCCTTTGTTGAACTAATCAATTTGGTGTTAATTATCACCTGCTGGAGAATCCAGAGTTCAACTTCTGGTTCTCAGGCAAGAGGAGAACAAAACTGCCATTGCCAATTCCTCGAGAAAAGACAGTGAAGGGCAGCCTTTTTTTTGGCAGAGAGACTGATTGGTCTTTACACAATAATCAAGACTCTTTGTCTAGGGACTTTTAAAGGGGTTAGAAAAAGAAGAAGAGTTATGGGGAACTTCCCTGAATTATAGTTGCCGACTCTGAGTATTTGAATAATGTAACATTCAGATAAGGTAGGAGATTTTGCATTGGAGTTTTTTGCACTAGAGCTTTGTCGTATCTTGGTTTTTGGCCTTGCTAGTAAGAAGGGGGAGCATGCCTTTTCTTCTCCCAAAGATTATAGGTATTTACACTTTAGAGGCATACTTACCTTTCTTAAGAATAATCCAAAAGGTCCATTTGTAGAGACTCACAGAAAAATAGAATCATGTCTAGGCGTTGAATGAAAGAGCCCAGATGTGAGCTTGGTAAATGGTAATTAGACTCAGGTTTCCAATTGGTCTATAAATGTGTGCTCTTAGGCTGAATTCCTGCCAGCGTTTGATGCTTATAAATGGAGTGGTGTGTGTGTGTTCTGGTGTGGGGAAGAGTGCAATTTATAAGGGCTCCTTTTTTTGTCACATTGCTCAAAAATTCTGCCTACTCATCTCATTTTTGACAATGGGATACATTTTCATGAGAATGTGAAAAAGAGAAGAAGGAGTGGCAGGAGGAGGAGGAAAGCAAAAGAAGAAACAAATGTCAAAAGAAACCAGTTGTTTTAATCAGGCATTTCCATTTTTGAGTGGCAGATCTGGCCCTTGCCCACCCTCCTGGGTCTGGTTCCTTCCCCACAGAACTTACTGAGAAGTGCCCGCTCCTGTTTCTCTTAGAGGGGCCAGTGAACCTTGCTAATTGCTAGGGACTCCCACCCCCAATACCCCCGAAGCCAACAGCAGTGTGGCTATATACCTCTCCCGCCTTTCATTAATCAGCTATATTATTTCCAATTACTTTTTTTTCAAAATCGAGTAAGTGTACTCTTATCCCCCCATCCCCTATTTCCCATATCCTGTCACCCCCTTCCCCTCTGGTAACCATCAGTTTGTTCTCTATAGTTAAGAGTCTGCTTCTTGGTTTGTCTTTATCTCCCTTTTTTTTCCTTTGGTGGTTTGTTGTGTTTCTTAAATTCCACATATAAGTGATATTATATAGTATTGTCTTTCTCTGACTGATTTATTTCAATTAGCTTTATACTCTCTAGCACCATCCATGTTGTTGCCAAACAAATTTCATTCTTTTTATGGCTGAATAATATTCCAGTGTGTATATATCACAACTTCTTTATCCATTCATCTATCGATAAACACTAGGGTCGCTTCCATAATTTGGCTATTGTAGATAATGCTGCATAGGGTTACATGTATTTCTTTGAATTAGCGTTTTTGTATTTTGGAGGTGAATACCCAGTAGTAAAATTACTGGATCATAGGGCAGCATTTTTTTTAATTTTTTGAGGAACCTCCATGCTGTTTTCCACAGTGACTGTACCAGTTTGGATTCCCACCAACTGTGCACAAGGCTTCCTTTTTCTACACATCCTTGCCAACACTTGTTATTTCTTGTGTTTTTGATTTTAGCCATTCTGAAAGGTGTGAAATGGTACCTCATTATAATTTTGATTTACATTTTCCTGATGAGGAGTGATGTTGAGATCTTTTCTGTGTCTGTTAGCCACCTGTATGTCTTCTTTGGAAAAATATCTCTTCAGGTCCTCTGTCCATTTTTTAATTGGATTGTTTGTTTTTGGGACATTGAGTTATATCAGTTCTTTATATATTTTGGATACTAACCCTTCATCAGATATGTCATGTGCAAATATCTTCTGTCATTCCATGGGTTGTCTTTTAGTTTTGTTGATTGTTTCCTTTGCTGTGCAGAAGCTTTTTATTCTGATATAGTCCCAATAGTTTATTTTTGCTTTTATTTCTCTTGCCTCAGGAGACACTAGAAAAATGTTGCTACAGTTGATGTCAAAGAGATTACTGTCTGTGCTTTCTTCAAGGATTTTTATGGTTTCAGGTCTCACATTTAGGTCTTTCATCCAGTTTGAGTTTATTTTTCTGTATGGTATAAGAAAATGATCAGTTTCATTATTTTGCATATGGCTGTCCAGTTTTCCCAACACCATTTGTTGAAGAGACTTTTTCCCATTTTATATTCATTCCTTCTTCATCAGAGATTAACTGACCATATAATTGTGGGTTTATTTCTGGGCTTTCTATTCTATTCAATTGATCTATGTATCTATTTTTTATGCCAGTACCAGACTGTTTTAATTACTACTGCTTTGTAATAAAATTTGTAATCTGGAATTGTGATACCTCCAGTTTTGTCTAATTACTTATTTTTTAAGTAAACTCTACACACAACATGGGGCTCCAACTCATGACCCCAAGATCAAGAGTCAGGTGCTCTATTGATTTATCCAGCCAGGCACCCTGTCCAATTTCTGGGTTTTAATCATTTAAAAATTTTTCTTTCAGCATAGCTTTTACACCCCAAAACCCACACTCAACCAATAAATGTCACATGTGCATACATACATACATACACACACACACACACACACACACGCACACAAACCAATTCTTCTAAACATTCCAAGACCCTTATTGAGGTATGCCAGCTCAACTTTAGCACTTTTCAAGTGCACCTTAGAATGTGAAACATTGAGGATTCCTGTTTGTATGTATTCTGAATCTGAAGGGACTTGCTGAGGGCAGCCTTAAATATTTTTTTTACCCTGTTGCTCAAGCTTGTTTGTTTGTTTGTTTGTTTGTTTTGCATTCCACTCTATATACCCATGTTAGAAATGCCCAAATGCCTAACTCTTCTCTGAAAAGGTAGCTACCATTTCCCCTAATTAGAATCCTGACACTTCTGGTTATTTTCAACTGTTGGTTATAGATCTACCTACCCAATTCCATCCCCGCATTATGTCTTAAACCCAGAGGCCCTGCAGCCCACTTTTAGTAGCTGGGACCATGGAGTAAAGGCAAGCCATCCAGTCCATGTGGATGTTAAACAGGTGGTGTTGGTCTCCTAGAGGGCCAAGAATGTCTCTGCTCTTCCAGCCTGATTCTGGAGGCTTCTTCCAATGGCATGTTGCCAACACCTCTAATCTGGCATGCTTGAGTGCACGAGTATATGTGCATATGTATGTGTATGTATGTGCACATGAGTGTATATGTGTGTGCATAGCTGTGTGTGCATGTGGGTTGTGGTCAGGAAGCTGGGCAAGAACTAGGACGTTCTGTTTCATTGGCTGACCCTCAGATACAAAGCCCTGGTCAGTCTACATTTTTTGTTTGTTTATTTTTATTTTTTTTAATATATGAAATTTATTGTCAAATTGGTATCCATATAACACCCAGTGCTCATCCCAAAAGATACCCTCTTCAATACCCATCACCTACCCTCCCCTTCCTCCCACCCCCCATCAATCCTCAGTTTGTTCTCAGTTTTTAAGAGTCTCTTATGCTTTGGATCTCTCCCACTCTAACTGGTTGGTCTACATTTTATAGTATGCCCACAACTCCTGTAGCTCCTGACAGAAATATGGGAACAGTCTCATGAGGTGAAGAAAGTAGAGAGTTTGGAGCTGATATACATGATGTTGCATCCTGGCTTTACCATGCAGCTGCAAAATTCAGGGACTTTTTAGAATGGGGATAAATAGCACCTATCTCATAAGAAAGTATGAATTTTGCCTGTGGAAGATACCTAGTGAATATCTGTGAATAGTTAAATGACTGTTCCAAGGGGCCTACCTTAATTTCAAGGTCTCTGTCTGAAATGCAGAACATATGTAGTTTCATATTCACCTACTCTTCCCCTCTACCACCTTATTATTAATGAACATGTATGTATGTATGTGTCACTAACTTGTAACAAAAACAACTAGTATATTTAGAAGGCATGCTAAATACTGGGGTCCATGCCTAGAGGTCTGTGCGTATTAATTAACCAGAGATTCCCTATATTTCTGTGAGGCATTGTTACCCCCATTTTACAGATGAAAAATAACTAAGACTCAGAGTTTAGTATTTTGCATACTTTTTTACAGTCCCAAGTGTTAGCACCAGGTTTCACCTCAGTTCTCGTCCAAGGTCTACGCTGAATCATGTTGCTCCTGTGGGGAGAGAGGACTCCTTACTAGTCCTGCATTTTCTGCAGCTTCTGATCCAGTGCTTCACACACAGCAGGTCCTCAAAAACTGTTTACAAATGATAGGCACTCAATAAACACTTAGCTAAAGATTTCAAAATCCAGCTGTCCAGATCTAAGGAAGCCTCTTAGACTGGCAGTAAAGGTGAGGTCACAGAGGCCAGAACAGCCATTGCCCAGCCTCTAGCCCTTGATAAGATCAGGAAATTAACTACTTCTGGAATTTTTTTCTTTGAACAGAAAAGCAGAAGAAGCAAAGCTTAAAAAAGAAGGATTCAACAAATGTCTTATCCTGCGCCACTATAATGATCCTAAAGGCATGGTGAAGGTAGACAACAGTCCCAAAGTTTCCCAATGTTTCTGGCTGGAGCTGCTGAAGAGGAAGCCTAAGATGCCAACAGTCAAAGAGGCTGATCCAGAGATGAAAAAGTTCCATTATGCCCTGGTAGACTGTTCCTCTTTGACCTAATATCCTTTTGAAATCCCAAGAGGAAAGGAGGTTGGAAGGGGCTGGGCATGATGGAAAGGATGTCTCGAGAGGTAGGGCATTTCTGTTTCAACAGAAAATCGCATGAGTATTGGAACAGGAAGTCTGATGCCTTGCCTCAATCTTTTGCTCTCAAGGGTCCACTTTCCCTCCTGCTGGAGACAAGAGAAGTCAATGCAAGAAAGAGGTTGGGGCAAGTTCTCTAGTTTGCAAGACTTACTTCTATTTAAGGGAACCTCTGGTTGTAGCTGTTAGGCTACAACAGCTCACATGGTTCTGAGAAAATGAGTTCTCCTTCATTTTCCTGGTTAGTAGAGAGAACCACATGGGCATTGGGCATCAAGAGGATCTAGCTTAGAGAGAAAAGAGACTTTGTGATAAATTCCTGCAAATCCAAAATGAAAAAGACCTCAAGAGGTTGGTGCAGCTGGGTTTTGTGAACTTGTTCACATATCCATAATTATCCCTCAGCCCTCCTTTGCTCTCATCTGTCCACAGATGTTGGCAGGGAGACACAGTCCTCCTGCTGCATGCTGTCAGGCCATACTGGGTAGCAATGGGCAACTTTGTTTTCCAGTGACTCTTCCATTAATAGAACCAATCTGACCAGACTTTCTTGCTATTATCCACAAGACTGGTTTCAAAGAGTTTGGGACTAAAATGAGCATGTAAAAAACTGATGTTTACAGAGGGGAGGTGGGCAGGGGGTATGGGTTAAATGGGTGATGGGTATTAAGGAGGGCACTTGTGATGAGCACTGGATGTTGTATGTAAGTGTTGAATTATTAACTTCTACACCTGAAGCTAATAAATAAATAAATAGTAAGTAAATAAAAATGAGGGTGCAAGTAATGTGAACGTATGGGAAGAATATGCAAGTGGGAGTCAGGGAACCCGGCATGGCCTGGCACCACCATTATTGTACTCAGTGACCATGGGAAGGTGAGTGACCCCCTCTGGACTTCTGTCGGCTCATCTGTAAATAGTTGATTAGAAAAAAAATTAAATATGGGGCACCTGGGTGGCTCAGTCGGTTGAGCGCCCGACTTCGGCTCAGGTCATGATCTCACTGTCCGTGAGTTCAGGCCCTGTGTCAGGCTCTGTGCTGACAGCTCAGAGCCTGGAGCCTGTTTCAGACTCTGTGTCTTCCTCTCTCTGTCCCTCCCACTCATTCTCTGTCTGTCTGTCTCTCTCTCTGTCAAAAATAAATAAACATTAAAATAATTTTTTTTCTAATTAAATAGGATAAGAGTTAACATCATTCCATATAAGAATAATTATTACCATTGTTATTGGTTTTTATCATTATCAGTTCCTTAACCTGGATTTTACCTATCCTTCTGGCCGCCTCGCTGTCTGCCAAAGCTATTCAGCTCTCCCTTGGGGTGGCATGTACACCAACATATTCAGTGACCTGCCCAATCAAGTTATCCTGGGAACCTTTACACCTTTTGGATGTGGTAGCATTTCTTTTCCTAAAAGGTATGTGAGATTCCAGACAAATTAGAACTTGTGGGTAAGTTAAGGGGTGGAGAAAGAGCTACATCCCAACAGAGGCAAGGACAGGAAAGTAATCGTTTACCTGGTCAATCTAATTTGGAAACTAGGTAAGGAAAATGAAACATACGCATGTGTTCATGGCTGCTCCAGGTTGAGACTTGCAAATTTTAACAGGCCAGAAGACCATAGGTCTCAAAGAATCCATTTGCACCATCCACATGATAATGCTGTCTCTCAGGAGCAGAGGGACCTATACGAAGGCAAGGCCCCAAGAATACAAAGGCTGGGAACTGAAACAGGAAGACTGTTATTTAGGTCAGCTGGGCCTCTCTGCCCCCTTAAGAACTGGTTGCACTGGCAGTACCACCATCCCATACCCTTACAAAGTCTCACATCGGGGGCTGGGTGGCTCAGTGGGTTAAGCTCCCGACTTCGGCTCAGGTCATGATCTCACGGTTCATGGGTTCAAACCCCACATCAGGCTCTGTGCTGACAGCTCAGAGACTGGAGCCTGCTTTGGATTCTGTGTGTGTGTCTCTCTCTCTGCACCTCCCCCTCCCGTGCTCTCTCTCTCTCTCTCTCTCTCTCTCTCTCAAAAATAAATAAACGTTAAAACAAAATTAAAAAAAAAAGAAAAAGTCTCACATCCTTCTCAAGATTGCTGCAAAATTCTCAGGGGTTATAATCTCACGGTCTCCTCTGACTTTGACTCCCTGCCTCCTTTGAATCTTGTTCTCCACTCTGCCTTGTAACTGTGGGTTTATTTTGGCTCTCTTTTATTTGAGACAATTGGGAAATTTGCTCCTTTTTTTGATTTTCAAACATAAAAACCCCTCTGTGAGGATGGCCACATTTGTTGGTGGTTTGGGTCACAGGAAACTTACCGCATGCTGCATCAAACATCTCAAATGAAGTGTAAAAGATACAAACATGTTTTAAAAGTGCTTCATGTCCACTTTTTCATTTTCCTCTCCAGGATCCTCTTTTATTCTTATCCCTTCTATTTTAAAAGCCCCTGGTCCCTTTTCATTCCCCACCCTCCAAATCTTTTCATTTTCTTATGAAAGAGAAATTCAGCTCTTAATAGCTATATGCCCCATCCAACTAATTTTTGCATATTCAAGCACTTAGCTAACAATCTGGATAAGCCATCCTGGGAGTAGGGGAGGAGATGAGAGAGGGATCAAAGAAGAGGGTGTGAGGTTATTTTGCCACCTCACTCTGCTGTCAATCAGCCACACCATTGCTACCACATGTCTTATTCATTCATCTATGCATTTCTCCTTTCTTTTTGTTCCTTTAGTAAATATTTATTGAGCATCTATCATATGTCAGATTAGAGTAGAGAGGAATATAAAGTTCCTGTTTGTCAGGAGATTTGTTACAGGGAAACTGAAGAGCAATATTTAATTTTTTTTTCAACGTTTTTTATTTATTTTTGGGACAGAGAGAAACAGAGCATGAACGGGGGAGGGGCAGAGAGAGAGGGAGACACAGCATCGGAAACAGGCTCCAGGCTCTGAGCCATCAGCCCAGAGCCTGACGCGGGGCTCGAACTCACGGACCGCGAGATCGTGACCTGGCTGAAGTCGGACGCTTAACCGACTGCGCCACCCAGGCGCCCCTGAAGAGCAATATTTAGAAAGGGAAATGAATGCAGAACATTGAAACAAAAAGGTATCTGTAGAAAATATTCGTTGAGGGGCGCCTGGGTGGCTCAGTCGGTTAAGCATCCGACTTCGGCTCAGGTCATGATCTAGCGGTTCGTGAGTTCAAGCCCCGCGTCCGGGCTCTGTGCTGATGGCTCAGAGCTTGGAGCCTGTTTCGGATTCTGTGTCTGCCTCTCTCTGACCCTCCCCGTTCATGCTCTGTCTCTCTCTGTCTCAAAAATAAATAAACGTTAAAAAAAATTTAAAAAAAATATTCATTGATTCAACAAATATTTGCAGAGGACCTACTAGCATGAACACTGTTTAGTCACAGGGGATATAGAAGAGAACAAAACAAAGTCCTTAAGCAGCTTACATTTTAGTGAAAGGAGACAGAGTAAACAAACAAATATATATCATATCAAGTGATGAAAGAGGCTTTAAAAAATAAATGAATAAAGCAGGGTAAGGGGAACTGAAGAGTGGTGGGAATGGGGAATTGCTATTCTATATTGGATGACCAAAGAAAGCCTCTTTGATAAGGGACCATGTGAGCAGAAACATATGGCAGTGCAGGGCAAACCGTGCTGTGGACAAAAGTGTTATAAGCAGAGGGAAAAGCCAGAGCTAAGACCCTCAGCTGTGAGTGTGCTTAACAAATCGAAACTAAATGGTGATCTCTGGAATGCTGGCTCCCCGAAAATATCACCAAAATATCAACCTGTTGATAAGACAAAGCTGAGTTTGTTCTAACCAAGGCAAGGGAGAGCACTACCTTGATGGAATCTCACTTCCTGTGAGTAGAGAAGCCAACCCAAAAATCTACTGGTTGAGGAAGAGTAGAGTGAGCTACAAGGTTCCGTTATCATGGATACAAATTTCAGTCCACATGTTCAGATGAGCAGGAAATACAACTTTATTTTTTCAACACTCAATTTAATTTCTAGATAGATTCTACCAGAGGGTGGCACAAACTTAGAACCGTGGTATCCTTTCCCCAAGAGTTCATTTCCATTCCAAGGAGCTGATAAAATGAGAAAGCATTAGTGGCTGGGGAAGTGTCGTTTGGTTCTCAGGCATCTTCATTCTAAATGGTCTGTGTGATTGGTCTCTGAAGCTCATGGGTGCATCCCTCTGGCTCCAGTTGCAAGGTCTTCCAAGGCCAGGCTTTTTCTTAGCTACTCCCACATCTTTATTAGCACACAAGAAACATTTGTCTGGCTTTGTCTTACCCTGATCATGGGGAAATCAAGGCTGTTCCATTCCCATCTGTGTAGAAGCCTCATGCATCTATTCTCTTACTCTTGAGTTATGTTGGGCCTGAGGTCAGCCCCAAGGCTCACCACCTGCCCAGGCTTTCAAATCCCTCAAATTCATATGGGATTTACTACTCTACTGCGGGCTCCACCCCACCCACCCCACACCACCCTGCAACTGGCCTTAGGAGGATGGCACAGAGCTTTTTCTCTAGAGGTTTCTTTCACTGAACTTCCTTACTTAGCCTCTGATACTCCTTTCCACCCCCTACTCCTTTGCGGTAGGAAAATCTCCTGACAGATTACGTATTCTCCCATATCCCTATTGCCATGTGTCTAGATCTCAGCTTTTCAATCTCAAAAGTCAAGAATTTGACACTGTTATTCTCACAACACTTTCCTGAAGCCACAGGTGCTGTTCAAGATCTAGGTGAGTGGGAGAGGGCCATGGGTAAAAAGGAAAGACTGGGAAGAGAGCAGTGTGAATTTCTCCCACTACATTACATAGCATTCCCATTAAGGATGACAAGTACAGGAACAATGTAAATACTTGGAATTTATGTGTGTGTGTGTGTGTGTGTGTGTGTGTATGCATTTGTGTGTATACATATACATACATATATATAGTACTGTAAAAAAAACTACAATCTATACATAGTATTTATAGTCATTTAGCAAGAAATATATAGGTATTATTGATTTTATAATAATAAAAATGTAAATATTATTTTAGAATTTATATATACATTGTAACTACCCTATTGTGTGGTTATGAGACCTAAATAAGACAAATTACCATGTCGGTTTTTAGTGTGTTCTAAGACAGGTAGGCTAAGGCAGATATAGATAACTTTTGAATGTGATGGATATGTTTATGGCATAGAATATGGTGATGGTTTCATGGATGTATACTTATCTCCAAAATCATTAAGTTATATGTGTTAAATATGTATAACTTTTGGTATGTCAGTCATACATCAAAATATTTTTTTAAAGAAGACAGATGAGTGGGTGGATGGATGGATGGACAGATATGGAAATAGGTAGATAGGTAAAGATCTGAAAAGTTCTAAGACAGAGATACTGAGCAGCAGGAAGTGGGTACAGAGGATGTATGGAGTGGGGAGTTTTGAGAATACCAAGGCTGAGAATGTGTGCACATGTGACAGTAAACAGGCAGGAACAACACTGAGAGATGCCATCATAGGGATCATGAAAGTTGGTGTTTTAAAGTGTTATGGCTCTATAATGCTTTAGGAAACATGCCTCAGCTAAATGTTTCTTTGTAAAGTCAGAGATGGTTAAGTGTAGAAATAAAACACTGCCCAAGAATAAGGACTGACCAGGAAGACCTGTCCTGTTCTCTATAATTCTGGAGTTTCTCTTTGTCCTTGGAAACTGCTCACGAGGATCTTGACCTCAAATTCTTATCCCAGTGGTATTCCTGAGCCTAACCAGTACCTGACCCAAATCTTCTCCTGATTTCCACCATATCCTGCAGCCTTCCCCAACTCCAATCCCTCTCCATCTCATATTTCAGAAGCTCAGGAAAAGGAGGGTAAGGTATAGCACTGTCAGCAAGGATCAGGGTGAGGTCAAAGGTGGGCTAAAGGAATCAGGTGACAATGTCAAAATGTCCACAGCCAACTAACTGCAGGTAACAGATGCTGCAGGTCTCTTCAAGACCACCTACACCATGTGTTAATTTATTGTTAGCTGCCTGTGGCTGCCATTACAAATTGCCATAAACTGGGTGAGTTAGAATACCAAAAATTTATTCTTTGGAGTTCAGGAGCCCAGAAATTAGAAATCAGGGTATTGGCAGTGTTGATTCTTTCTGAAAGCTCCGAGGGAGAATCCATACTATGCTGCTTTGCTAGCTTCTAGTGGTTGCTGGCAATCCTTGGTGTTCCTTGGCTTGTAGACATGTCACTCCAATCTCTGCCTCCATCTTCATATTGCCTTTTTTCTCTATGACCTCTTCTCTTCTTATAAGGACACTAGCCATTGGATTTAGGATCCATTCTAAATCCACCTTGAAATCTTAAGTACATCTGCAAATGCCCTATTTCCAAAT